AATATTTGGAGGGGTTGGTTTTTTTAATATTAATTTTATTGAGAAAGAAGTGGGAATGAGACAGTTTCAAAACAGGTTGGTAGGGCAGTTGCAATGATTAATACATTGCATGTTGTCTTTGCAGTAGTTATTCAGAGGACAAGATGCAGACATGATATCTTGTCTAGACACTATTAGTTCAAAACTTTCTTCTCATTGAACTAAGAGAAAGTAGCTGTATATCTATGCTGATTATTTTGTATATACATATTTTTTTCACTACAAAATGATCCTTCATTTATATCCTCTTTTTTTGTTTACTTTTCTCAGAGATGGGCATTCCATTGCCATTCAATCACCCCTCTGCTTCCTGGGTGAGCTGCTTCCTGGGTGAGCCTTCCTCAAAACCTTTGATTCTCCCATCTCTGACATTGCCTTACTTTTCATTTTGTTTTATTTTAAAGAGAGAAAGAAAAAAAAAGATACAGAGAAAAAAAAATTTCAAAACAATGGCCAAGGAGATAGCTCAGTAGAATAAGTGTTTGCCTGGCAGGCGCAGGGTCCTGAGTTCAATTCCCGGTACCGAAAAAAAAAAAAAAAAAGACAATGGGAAATTAACAATGGTTATTGTATTGTATAATGCTGTCTTCAGAATAGTTGCTCAGATTACCAGATATAGGAATGCAAAACTGATCAGATAGCGTTAGCACGAAACAGTACAGTATTAGCAGTACAGTTATCTTAGCTATCTTGAGTATATACACATGTCCTTTTTCCTGCTCCCTTCTTTTCCTTTTCCCCCATCCCAGTTGTTCTTTCCTTTGAAACAGTTCCTTTCCCTATCACAATATCTATTGTGCCTATTGAATCTTATTTACTCTTTATTAAAATAAGGTATTTTAAATAGAAAGGTGTAATTCAAGTAAAAAGGAGAGCAGGATCTCAAGGACTAACTAATCAAGAGAGGGAAAGGAGAAGAGCTAGGAAACATGAACAAGTCAAGCCATACAGTTATATGTAGAAGATGGGCAAGGCAATGATCCTGAGCATCTTCAGAAGATTTTTTTAATCTAGCAGTTAATTGGAAAGATTCTCACCCTGACTAACTATATATACTGATACCTGGGAACTAAGCTACTGCACTGCAGATGGTAATTTGTA